AAATATAGCTAAATTAATTATAGTAATTAGCATGTAATTAAGAAAAGACTTAGAAAAATAATAAAAAAGAAAAATTATAGATAAATTATAGTATTATTACAATTACTAATTAAACTACTAGGTTTGAACTAAAAAAAATATTAGACTAAACTTAATATATCAAAAACAGATTATAGTTTTTTTGAGCTATTTAAATTAAAAGTTTAAAACTAAACAAAGGTATATTAAAATATTAAAAATATATTGTAAAGTAGATATCAGAATTTAAATAAACTTTACAAAGACAAATTTGTATTAATAGTCTATAGAAATAAATAAATTAGTTAACAAAAAAAGACTTTTAAGTCTTACTAACTGATAATAAATATTTTTTTTTTTTTTTTTTTTTTAGTTAAAGTCTCTATCTTGGAAGTTGCGATGTTTTTATTCAAGTATATTAGGACATGACATGCCACCAGGGGCTCACCTTATATTGAAGGTTACAACTAGCCACACGTGCACTTTTGGTGCCTAATTTAAGTAATCCGCTTACATATTACTATATAAGTTTACACTAGTTGCCATACCTGCAAGCCAACTAGGAGTCTTGTCTATTTAAATCCTCTGCATATGCAGTCTTCCTTGTATCATAAGAACATCTCAAGGCACCACCCATCCAAGTTCTTGATGCTTATTAGTATACTTAAAACTACTTTATCCTTGATAGGAAACTTACTAAAGCCTTTATGTTCTACATATATAGACCTAGTTTTATGCAACATGCTATAGTTATCTAACACTTGCAGTTACAGAAATTACCTGTTTAACCACTACATTACACTATTTCTATTCATATAAAGTTTACTAGAACTTCAGTATTCATCTTTCTGACATCTTTTCTATTATCTCCTACTAGCCACAACTCAGAACTGTCAGTCTCATTCCAGACTACCAATCCAGATGGCTCAGTATAGTATACTTCTATATTCTTTTCCTTTGGCAAACCTGACGGCCTGGTTGGTTATATGTTCTTTTACATATATTTGCTGTCTGGTTTTAATCTTCAGTTCCTATGAAGGTGTTTCATGGGCTTCAATCAGTCCAATGGTATTGTTGAAAGTTCATGTTACCTCTTTACTCAGGAATTTCCAAGTAAGTTTCTGTCGCTTTGGTTCCTTAGTCTTCTATGCTCAGTGGTCTTATTATGGGTTTGCACTGAAGTCTTATGCAATACTAGTTAACATTCCTCTATGTACATATAACGTTACACTTCATATAGATATCTGAGCTCCCAAAGTCAGAAGAACTCAACCTGGTGTATCTAGATAACAGCCACATAAGGCCAACCGATTAACAGAAGACAGTTATCATAATACAGATATAATTTTCAAATTTCATCATAGGTGAGATTTGAACCTTAGACTTGCCACTTGGAGGATGACAACCCAACCACTACACTAGGATCGCTATCTTCAGATAATAAATATTAAAATATATAATAACCTAATTATTAATACAAACAAATAGATAAATGCTACTTAAATTGTATACTAGTTAAGTATATATAAAGGTTTGTAATAATTATATAATTAATAAAATAAATAATCAAAAGGTTTAAATAAATAATTTTTTAGTAGATCATAGATAAAATATTTAGTATAAAACTATAAAATAGATTACTTAAATAGGTAACCAAAAATTGCATATATAGATATTGTATTTTTATTTTTATAAAAATAGTTGTAATCACTAATCTTAATATATTAATAAAATATTATTATAAAGTACAGTTTTAAACAATAAAAATACCTTTTATAATATAAAATTTTTAAAAATAATTTAACAATTTAGTTTTTAATTTTATTTTTTAATAACTAAGTTATTTGAATTAAAAGTTTAAAGATAAATAGAAATATACTAAAATATTAAAAATATGTTATAAAGTTGATACTAAGATTTGAATAAACTTTACAAAAGTATATTTATAATAATATTCTATAGAATAAGTAAGGTAGTTAACAAAGAACATTTTGAGTCTAAAATTAGATAACATGTTCTAAAACAAATAATGATATAATAAATATACAAAAAAGAAGTTAATGTTAAGTTAAATAACACTTAAATATACAAAAACCAAACATTATTTGTTTGATGTAGTATAAGGATCAAAATGTTAAATAAATAATTTTTTAGTAAATTATAAATATAACAACTAATACAGAAATTGCAGATAGACTACTTAAATAGATAATCAAAAGTTACATATGTAACTAATTGTATACTTATTTTATATAAGTTATATATTATATATATAGTAATTAAAATTACAATAAAGATAATAGTTGATGTTAACATCAATCTTAGCAAAAACAAAAAAAAAACTATTATTATTATTTTTTTTTTTAATATTAAAGATAAGTACTAAAAAAAAATTATTTTAAAAAATTATATATATAAAAAACATGTAGAATTTTTTATAAATTTGTAAAAAACTTATTTAGATAGTAAGTATATATAAAATTTTTTTTAAAAGTTTTAACCAAGCCAGGTTATAAAAATTGATTTGTTAAGTTTATATAACCTAAATATATTTTTTATAAAAAATTATATTACATTTTTTTATACATGCTCTGGATCAGTTTAGTTTGCAATATGAAATATGATAGTGATACCTTTTGGTGAAGTCGACAAATATTCAATAGGCACACTAGAGTGAATTATGTTTTTTATATGAAATAGGAATGTAAAGCATGCAATTTCGGGAAAGTCATCATTTTCGTTAACTCATTCATCATCTTCAGTGTTTAATTCTTCTAATTGATCAATTCCTAATATATAACATTAATAAATTTGTATGTACGTATAATTACAGCAAAACCAAATTTGGAAATTGTAAAAATAACGATAATTCAAATCCATTAATAAATATATACCTGTTCACATTCCAGATTTACTACGTAGGTCAATTTGAAATTCTTCAACATCGGATATATTAGAATCCATTTTAATTGTAATTATGTACAAATAAAGAAATAATGGTCAAAGAGTACTATGTAAATTTACTATGTAAAAAGAATATCCGTTACGATCAAATATATAATTCATAATACATCCGTCTGAGTGCATGAGAGTGAAAACCCGTAGCCAATCATAATAAATCATTTAAATGTATTTCCTGATTTTCACTCTCACGCACTCATATATATATATATATAGTCCGTACTAACTTGTATTACTGTACTTACTATATTGATATACTCATTTAGTTGTTACGTATACAGTTACAATCAATATCGATATTGTCTGCTTTTTAATACAAATTGGGTTTTTATAATCTAAATACATACAATTATTAATTGATAATAAAAGCTCGCACAAACTGGCCAGCCAACTAACGTACGTGTATAAAGAAGAATTGGATTGTTTAATAAATTAGTATCGTTACGGGTTCGTAACAAATCATGGTGAATTGCATATAACAATAATATAAAAAAAACATGCTCATAAAACAGTGCATCGGCCTGAAAATTTTCGTACGTACATACTAACGGGCGTCAAAATTTTCTAGGTTTAACATTCAATATCGATATTCTAGTGTAATCTCGCAAAATGGGGTTGATTGTCGTGCAAGTATTTTGTGTAAATAGCCTAACACAATTTTGCGGCAGATTCCAAAGATCCCGAAAAAGGGGGTTGCAGTTTGCATATAACTTTACCAAAAGTAGAATTTAGAAATCATCTTTTCGATAAAAGGTTTATTTTTGATTGTGCCAAAATACAAAGAATTTATTTATAGTTCCCCTGTATGTATATCTATTACTCGAGTAAGGTATTTGTTGTTGTACAATGCAACACCAAAAAGGGATTTCATTGATAAAGGGTTTTACTTACGCCGTAAGCAAAAAAAAATAAATAGTCCACAAAAAATTTCTTAAGAAAAAAATACTTTCATCGTCCTGACTGTTTTTTAATATCGGTAAAGAAAGTATGTCGCAAAACTATTATCCACCGCCGCCTCAAAATCAAAATTATTATCCTCCGCCCCCACCTCAAGGATATGCACCACCACCACCACAACAGCAGGGTACTTTTTTAAAGAATTTCATTGAAAATATTACAAAATTGATTTTCATATAAAATTAATTATTTTTTTGTTCTTTTTTAAACAAAAACCATAGGCTATTACCAACCAACTGTAAGAAGCTCTTAAACCATTTATTTTATATTATTGGCTTATGTATTTATTAATTAAATGAACGCTAACAACTGAAATCTGTTTTTAGCCACCACCTCAGGTTGTTGTGCAGCAGCCACAAAAACAATCGAAGAATGAAGGGTTGTGTTTAGGATGGTAAGTTAATACCCATAATTATAACACTTCTTTTTTATTTTTCATACTACGTTCATTAATATACTATGCCATTCAATTAATTAATACAGCGCTCTTGGTGCATGCTTATGCTGTTGCTTTGAAGAATGTTGTTAACATATATTTCAACAAAAAATCGCAATGTGTCATAAAACCAGAGATATCTGATATCTTTCTTCAATTCGTAATGTAATTTTTAACTCACGAATTTATAATTCGAAATGAAACCATAAGAATTTATATATGTAGATATATAAAAGCTGGTGTTCTTTGTGTATCTTTGTAGTATCATGTGAATATATATTTTATATGCCTATTAATAATTCTTTTATATATAGATTCTATAATTTGTTTCAAATAAATCAATATTGGATATTTATTTGACATTACTTTTGCTTCTTATTATCTGATACAACCTCGGGTTTGCGATAAATCCAAGGTTTTTGTTTGGAAACCATAAAACATTGTAACATCGAAAGAGTAGCACAAAATTATTAAAATGTGTTTAGGTTTGCATCTCGTTACGGTACCTGGAATTCTTGTGATACATGTTTAATAATACGTACAACCAACCATGCTTTCTAATCAGAACTGAACCAATGGTAGATCGTCTTGAAACATTCCCGTTCAAAATTTTGGCGTTTCGTATAGTCCAATAAGGGTATTAATTAAGTTCAATAAGTGTGCTAATTAGCTACATTGTATTAAATACACTAATACTGTAACTAATGGAATATCGATTAACGATCCACAACGCTAATACTGATTAATTTATGGTTAATGTATTACGCAATTTAAATTCAATGGCATCATTCATATAATGATGCTTCATAACATAACGATCATCTCCCATTTTGTCTCCAGTATCAAACTTTGATGCTAATTGAAAATATTCATGGGGCATTATTGCCATTGCTCTTCTCTTATTTTTCTACATTTTGACATTTATTGTCATTAATGGATAGTGTTGTGCATTAGAAAATTGCTACGTACTAGAGTGGACGGGGAAATGTGATGTGCACATATGTGCATATGTGTCATGTTTTTCGCGAACCATATGTGAACATATGTGCTCGCAGTATATAAATTTTCATTCGAATTCTTTGCCAAAAGAAGGCATTAATATTTATCTTAATAAATTAAAACTATTCGAAATTAGTTTCGCCATTAGCATTAGTATCTAAATTTAGTTTCGCCTTTTAGCATTAGAATCTGAAATTAGTTTCGCCTTTTAGCATTAGAATCTGAAATTAGTTTCGCATTTAGCACTAGAATCTGAAATTAGTTTTGCTCAATCTTTAGTATTTCAAAGTTCTCTGGAATTAGTTTCACTCGTAGAAAAAATCAACAATGTAAAATAGAAATTTAATTTAGTCTTTGTACAACAATATAAGTTTCAAAAATTGTTAGTTAATATATAATAAAGCTCAAGAAAAAAAAAATTTTGTGAATTCATTTTTTTCAATTTTCACTTTTCAAAAATGATTACACCTAACAATCATGTTAATGAAAATGAAGAGTACAAAAAAAACTTTTATGTTGATGGTGAAAGCTTATTTTGTACCTTCTGTAAACATATTTTAAATTATAAAAATAAGTTTATACTTGATCAACATCTAAGAACTGATAAACATAAAACAAATGAATGAAAGCCAAAGAAAATCCACAAGAAACCAATAAACCAACTTACAAAACTAATACTTGTCTAGAAGAACATGATACAATTAATATAGATTTAATTTATACTTTAACTTAAGCTAATATTCCACTTGAGAAAGTCAATAAGCTTAAACCATTCTTTTTAAAGTACTATAAAAATGATAAGTTAATTTTGTTAGTAAAAATTCTAATTTGTTAATTAAATATTAATTAATTATTATTTGTATAATAGGTGGTTCTATCATTGAATCAACTCAATTATATGACAGATACTTGTCTATTGCATTTAATTCAGAAATTAAGAATTTAAAACTATTCTTAGTTAGAAAATAAATTTTGATTACTATTGATGAATCACTTGATGTTTGTAGAAAGGTTGCTGTAAATATATTATTTAGTTTTTATAATATAATTAAACTAGTTAAAACTGAGCATTTAGATGTTGTTAATAGTACTACTATCACAAAATTAGTAATAAAAACCCTCCAATTTTATAATATTCTATTTGAAAATATAATTTTTTTATTTCAGACAATGTTTTCTATATATTGAAAGCATTTAGTATTTTATCTCTCTTAATAACTCAAATCATTGTTTGGCACATATATTAAATTTAGTAGGTAAAACATGGATAGGTCACAAAAATTTTAAATTATTAGAAGATATAGTAATGCAAATTAAAGTCTTATTCATGTATAATAATGCATGCAAACAAAAATAGATTTTCTTTTTAAATTTACAAAATTTGAAGATATCATCAAAGTTATTCCTATTTCCTGTTAAAACAAAATAGAATTCTTGGTTCAATTTTGTTTTTTGAATCAACAAATATATTTCTCAACTAAAAAATTTTTATTTGAATAAGAAGCTTATTAGTAATAATAATAAAAACAAGACAGTTCAAAAATTAATATCTATATTTAAAGATTCTATACTTGTATTTGAATTTGAAATTTTATTTGTATTTATTATGTTTAATGCACAAAGATAATAATAATAGATTTTTAACTAAAAAAAATTAATGTTATTAATATATTTATTTTAATTTTATTTATATAGCCTTTTCAATATATTGAAATTTTTTAAAATTTATAACAAACCTATAGCATTTTCTATATCAAATCAATTAATACAACTTGAAACACAACTTCAATCTGGTACCATTGATTCATCTTTAAATAATAAAATATTATTTATATTTAATATACTACATATAGATTCTTTATAATATATAGTTGGATTTCAGGAGACATATCAGTTAGCATTAAATAAGTTTAAAAAACATATCAATTAACATTATAATTTACTTTTATTTAAAGCAATTCAATAGTTTGATCCATGTTATTTTCACTTACAACAAAGTCAACAGAATATTAATTTGTACAAATGTATTTCTAAATTTAAAAATTCAAGTAGTATTATTATATGTGAGTAGAAAATTTATTGTAAAATAAATAAAAATTTTAATGCTAATAATAATTTTAATTTAGATTCTTATTGGAAAGAAAAAGCTGCACATTTTTCTAATTTGTCACAAATAGTTTTAGTTTATATTTGGCTTTCTGTTTCAGAAGTTGATATTGAGTGAATTTTTTCTATATATAAAAATATTCTTATAAAAGACAAACTCTTTTAGAAAATTTAATTAGTATTCTAAATTTTATATATTTTAATAAAATTGAATAAATTTATCTAAATTGTATAAGTGAAATCCTTTAAATATGAATAAAAGAAAATAAAAATATTAATAATTATATTATTTGACATATTTTTGATATTTAGATAACTCTGATATAACATAACTTTGACATAAATTACAACTAAATAAATTTAATAAACTTATATTCAGATTTGTAATTTCTTCTAAATATAGTTAACTTTCTTTAAAACATACTAGTATTTTGAAAGAAAAAAAGGTTTTCAAAAGTCTACATCATATAAAATATATAAAATTTAAAAATTCATAGCTTGTAAAGGCATTCATTCTACAGAATCAACTATAAATTTAATATGCATATGTGCACATATGTTCATATATGATTTATAAAAAATATAACATATATGTATATATATGCACATCACATTTCTCTGTTCACTCTACTATATATGTATTATTTGAATTCAGATCATCTATCTGATTATTTTTAATATTTAAAAAATTGATTCCAAGTTTTACTTTCTTTTTTTTTTATATGTGTTAAGATTGATCCCAAGTTTTCTAAATTTACAAATTTATCAATTTTAATTGAAGTTTTAAAAGAAATTTTAAAAAGTTGTATTTAAAATTTAAAAGACTGCTTGATATAAAAATAATAAACCAAGTTTTATTTCAAATCTTCTATATAAATTATAATTAAAAATTATTAAGAATTAATTAACTTTTAAAAGAAATGAGTTTGCATTAGTTATTAAACATTTTATATACAATTTAATGTTTTCAAGTTTTGGTTTAATTTAATTAATTATTTTTATTATCTTGCTATTTATTAAGAAATATAAATGAAAGATAATAATTCAAAAACATAAAAAGATCATAATAAATACATTATTTTCTTATAATTTTATAAAAAAAAAATTATTATATATGTAATGTAAATTAAAATTATCTATATAGTCAAATAATATTTTTTTTATTTAAATCAAGATATTTAAATTATACTTGTTCAATAAGCTTAGTTAGTAAACTAAAAGCAATAAGATGCTTAGTTATGTTTTGCATATAGATTTTCTTTTAAATAGTTAAATTTGAAATCATTAGTTTGTAAAAAATATAACAACTTAGTGAAATGAATAAGTTGCCAACCTTCCAAGTAGTAAGTTATAAAAATTTGAACAAATATATTATTTTATTCTGTAAAAAAAATTAAATCAAAATTTTTTATAATTTCTTTATATATAAATTTCATATTATTTTTCTTTAAATTACTAAATAATAATATCTGTATTTCTTTCATAAATGTAGCATATTTGCAAGATTTTCTTGAAGTAATTTTAAAAAATTAATATAAATTATATTAAAGTTTTACTAAACCAATACAATAATAAAATAAAAATTTTATTAATTATAAAACTTAGTTAAAGATTTTGTTGAAATTTATATAATAATTTACTGAATTATCCAATAGTAAAAAGTAAATAATATGAAATAAATATGAAAATTTATAAAAATTTAAATAAGCAAATATGAAATTGTTTTATAATAATTATTGTTACAAAGTAGATTTTAGCATAGTATATTATAAAATAGTATTAGTAGTATATATATATTTATTATTGTATTTTATATTATATTTATTATTAGTTATTAGTTAGTCAATAGTT